GTAAAGGCATGTAAGGTAGACTAAACAGTTCAACAGATACATATGGTTATATACTGGTGCATTATAAACTTGGATAAATTAATTAAGTAGATGCAATACAGAGAAACGGGTAGGAGTGTGAAACAAGGCTCTCTTATATTCTGGAGAAATTCAACAGTTTATTATACATGGTTCTCCTTCCATCTTGTGGTGAGCTTGTGCAAGTACAATCCATTTCTATGTCAATTAAATGCTAAATAAATCCAGAATTTTGGTTAATAATAACTACTTTTTCATCCACTGAGAACATGTTATATTATTTTTTTTAAACTTAATATGGCAGCATATAGTCATTTCTAACACTGGCTACATTAAACAAATTAAAATCCCATCCAGGATTGGATGATAACTAACTTCTTCCAAAATATCACCAATAAATAAATACATAGGAGTTGATTTGTATGAGTAAATTGATACGTTACGTTATGCTGAAAAATTGCATAATGTCTTCTACTTTAACCTCAGGAGTTATTTTTCATGAATAATGCACAAACAGTTAAAGACAGATGCTCTGAGTGATATGAGTCAAACTGGGCTTCACAAAGGAAGTTGACTCTGTAAGCTGCCTCTGGAGCTTCCTTTGCCTCTGCACCAATGATGCAGCCTTTGCATCACAGGTGCAAAGGAAGCTTCTTTGTGAAACCTTGAACAGACTGCTGGGCCCCATTTCAGAGAGCACAGTTAAAAAGTTCTGAGTAGAAAACAGTCACTCTAAACAACCTGACTCTGTAATCCAGGGGGTTTTTGGTTTCAGGACAGGAAATATCAACCAGATAACTCAATTCTGAGTCAAGTAACCTCTGAGTTAAGCATAGAAATATAAAGATCAATTTATCTCAATGTTTTTCAATCAAACAAACAAAAAAAAACTTTTGGAAATGTAATAAAATATTTTTTCACATGTAAATGTTCTGTCTTAAAACTATTTTAAAACCATCTGCCATTTAAAACTGAGTGACTTGTTTTTATTCAAGTCACTCTTCTTTTTCTCATGACGGAAAAAAGTTTATTGCAAAACATAAAATATTATTTGTGCATGTCATAAATCTTTGGTTATGATTCTCAAACTTTTGGTTTTGGTGCGTCCTGTTTTAGCAGCAGCAGCAACCAACCTGAGGTTTTTTAGCTCTTTATACAGAGAGATAAAAGTTGTGCCATGCAAAGCCAAGATTCCTCAGATCTGTTGTAAGCTGATACCTAACTTCACATCTAAGCCTTTTCTGGTTTACTTCTGTCCCAGTTTCCATTTCTTTCTACTCGCTTTCTAACTTTTTTCTCTCTAAGCAAGTTACTCAAACTTTCAGCTTCTGCACAGTTGCCATAAGCGCACTCATGTTCGTCAGTCGTAGCCAAGCCAAATATTTGAACAAGAATGGCAGGGAGGTTTTGTATTTCCCGTTTTAAGACAAAAGGCTTCACATCTGACACCTGCAGGAAGTTTGATGGTTACATGAAAGTTTGTCATCCTATTTCGTACAGCAGGGGTCACCAACCTTTTTGAGACCGGGAGCTACTTCACAGGTACAGAGCAACACGAAGGGCACTTACAATAGTTATCAGTAATAATTTACCATGGCAGCTATGGTTTTATTAGAATTATTGGCACGGCTTACCTGGATAAGTGTTAACTCTCCAGAGATCAGCACTGTCCTCTCAGACTCAGAAGGTTGCAGGTTTGAATCCCAGTTGAGGGGATTCTCAGGAATCGACATCTTCATGGAGTAAACTGGAGATGGAATTGAGGGTCAGCTAAATATGTGGGAGATAAAAGTTGTGCGACCTCTCACCTGCCTGTCTGCACATTGTTCATAGAGGTCACTATTGGGACCATCGCTCTTAATTGTCAATCGATTTTCACACAGCTAGATGGAGCATAAAGTGCTTTACATGGGTTAAAAACAGAACAATTAAGTTCTTTGAACTAGTGGAGGACGTTGGAGCATCCAGGGAAAACTCTGGTAGAGACAACATGCAAACTCTATACAGCTTCTTTTTTTTCTTTTTTTTGCTCTTAAATATTTAACACCATACATCTGAACTCAGTAGTCTACACATATAAAGAAATTCATACAAATCTGTCTGAATTTATGCCATCATCTAAAAATGGCCCCCCTTGAGGGCCGGTTTTGTCCCTGGTCCAACACACCTGAATCCAATAGCTGCATCACCTCCCAAATGCAATCAGGTTTTCCAGAGTCCTGCTAATGACCTCATTATTTGACTCAGGTGTGTTGAAGTAGAAATACAGTTAAAAGTTGCAGGACACCGACCCTCGAGGCCTAGAGTTGCCTCGCCCTGATCTAGGAGGTTCCTAAAGAATCTAGAACAAAATCTAAAGTATGTGGAAAGGATTATTGCTCAGGGCTTCGGCCTCACGGGCAACGAGTTCGAAGTGGAGCAAGCTCATCGCTCACTGGCGCCCAGACCAGATGGCAACAAACCACCTCGGACCATCCTGATACGGTTCCTGCGTTCATCGGGTCGGGACAAGGTGCTACAGATGGCCAAAGAAAAGCGGGGGCTGGAGTGGGAAGGCTGCAAATTATCTTTCTTTGAGGACCTTCCTGTTCCTGTTGAAGGAACTCTCGGATAAAAGGAAAGCTTTCAACACTGTAAAGAAACTGCTCTGGGAAATGGAGGTGAAACACCGGCTGTTGTTCCCAGCAACGCTCGTCTTCACTTGGAAGGGAGAAAGGAAGACATTCCGGGATAATTTAGAGGCAGAAAGGTTCATACAACAAGCTAAGTGAAAAACAAGTGTTACTATTTGAGGTGTATATGTTTCAAGATATTATGTAAAATTTATGTCGGTTGTGGGTTTCGGAGTTCGGATGGTTGTGTTGCCCAAGGACGATTTTCAATGCGTCTCACGGACCAAGTTTAATAGAGGGTTAAGAAAAGGACTGAAGGTGGCAACATGTTCTTCATTGTTTTGCTCAATCCTAATCTTTTTTTTGTTTTGTTTGTCTGTTTGTTTGTACCAGGTTAGTTTATTTTAGTATTGCTGGTATTAGACATTATGTCAATGTATTTGTACTCCCTTAAGTGGCCGATTAAATCATTCAAAGTATACCAAACAGCAAAAGATGTCTAAGGGATATATCAACATAATATTGTGGAATATTAATGGAAGCGGGCACCCAATTAAAAGACAAAAAGTTTTGACTTACTTAAAATCCAAAGACGCTGATAGAGCATTTATTCAGGAATCACATATAAAGGGGGATGAAGAAGCGGCTAAGTTCAAAAGAGGATGGGGGGGTAAAGTGCACCACAGCTCGTTTTCAAGCAAACGAAATGGGGTAATGATTCTTATTAATAAGAATATAAGCTTTGTTATGCTTAAACAATATCACGATAAAGAAGGATGGTTCATATGTGTTGAAGCCTTGCTGAATAGAGTTAGGACTATCCTTTGCAACATTTATGCTCCCAATCAGGAAGAACCCAACTTCTTTCACGACATTAATAATGATGGGGAACATGGAGGGCTATATTATTTTGGGAGGCGATTTCAATCAGGTGATGGGCAGATTTATTGACAAAAGTACTGGGGGGGGGAATCCGCACCTGGGGACAGGCTGCAATCCAAATGTTGGCACAGGACTGGAACTTGGTTGATATATGGAGACTGGTAAACCCACGGGAGAGGGAATATACTTTCTACTCTCTTTGCACCTGCCGCGCCGACGTCACAACCTCATGCGCAAATGCGGCTCTCTTTTTTTCGCTTTCAGTTACTATGATAGCTAGACAAGACAAAGTCGTACTTCAGACGCAAATAAAACAATACTATGCACTTTGTTGTCTTCCTAATATAATTGACTTCCAAGCGGTCCTGTATTAAGAAGACAGTGGCTTGTAAATATTCATTGCTACCAGTTAAAGCTAACATCGCACAACAAAGTTTGCAGTCTTCACTCTGGATCAGCTTCTTCAGCCTAAAGACGTAAAGGAGCCGTTCTGTGTTATTTCTATTGAATCGCTTTTGTATTCACCCTGAAAGAATGAGTGTTTGGGAATGAGAAAGCAGAGCCAGACAGCTGAGCAACTGATCCACCTGTACCCACTGCTGTAAACACCGTCCTATTTGAGCCCTTGACAAGAAGCATGCAAAAGTAATAAAACAAAATAACACAGAGACCTTAAGCAACACGGCCATATTTTTCTAGAAGTAACTACTCTGAACCTGAACAGTCAGCTGAACCAGAGCTGCCCTACTGTTAAGCTTGAGCTTCGTCAGGCTTCAGCAATAAAAAGCCTGAACCTAAAATCCCCCGTTACTTGGTCTCTGACACTGACAATAAACACAATATACTTGAAAATAAGGTAAAAACATTGTCTTAGAAAGAATGAAAAATGTTTAGATCCTTAAATAACAGAGATTTTTACAAGAATATTGCCTACTAGCATCAGCTAACGTTAGCCACAAAGTTTAAAGAAAGTAAAACTCGCCTTCATATCTGAACGTATCACGAGGCGAACATCTTAAAACCTTCACGGCTTACTTGTTGGGGTTTCGGATTGATGTACGTTATTAATTGTTACCTTGGAAAAGTGAAAAGTACCATTTTCAATATATCGGAAACAATTTAGCTGCTTTTCCCCAAACGTGGAAGCTGACGTGCAAATAGCCCTATCCCGCAGCGCTCGCTCTTCCCGCCCAGCAACTTCCGGAAGGGAGAAAGGCTGCTGTACTCCAGGCATTGTGCCAGTCATTTTAAGGATGCTTAATGGTCAACCTTTACGACAGAATAAATCAAAGAAAATACATGAGAACTTGAGACACAATGTATGAAATACTAGGGACAGTGCGAGGACACAACTTGATTATTGCAGTGAAGAACCATACAGCAAAAAAATAAAACGTGGCTCAGAGGGCCACATTGTCATGATGTGTGATGGGAGGTGACGAGGCAGACGCTTGAGACTCTGGTAAATAAGAAATGATAGAGATTTAATGTTGAATAACTCCAAATATAAACAGTCCAACAATACCAAAATGTCTGCAGATTAAAAATGATTTTCCCATTCCCAACTGTTGACATCTCTCAGATGTTTGCGACTTTACAGTTGAGTCATTGTGAATATCTGCTTTTCATCTAGTAAAAGTCTATTCTACAAGATCTTCCTCACCATCATTATCAGCTAATGCTTTTTGTGCAGTGTAGAACTGGTTGTCCCATGCAAAGCTAAGCTTCTTCAGTTCATTTCTAAGATGATTGATAACAGCACGTTTAACCTTTTCCTTGTTTTCTACTGTCCAGTTTCCAAATCTTTGTACTCGTTCTCTAACTTCTTCCTCTCTGAGCAAGTTACTTAAACTTTCAACTTCTGCACAGTTGCCATAAGGCCACTCCTGTTCATCAGTCGTATCCAAGCCAAACATATTTTTACAAGAAAGGCAGGGATTTATTGCTTTTCTGCTTCCAAGATTAAAGGCTTCACATCTGACATCTGCAGGAAGTTTGATGGTTACATCAAAGTATGCCTTCCTACTTTTTATAGGATAGTAGCTCATCACTGCATCAGCTACATGTTTCTCCCAGAAGTTAAGGCAGGATGCAGCAACCAGGATTCGGCCTGCAGGACGACCAGTGGTGGACATGGAGACTCCATAGTGCTTCACTGAATCTCTGCTGTTGCCAGCAGAGATGCAGATTGTGGTGGAAATCAACATATTTTGGTTATTGCCTCTCTTCAACTCTGTGATGAGTTCCTTCAGGGTTTCTCTAATATCATCCTCATGTTCTTGACCTTTCAGATGAACAACCTGAGATGAAACAAGCATAAGACAAAAGCTGAAATTATTTGAGGATACATTGAGTTCACTTTTCAATAAATGTGAGCTCAAAACAGCAAACACTAAGTTCCTTTAAATTCAGGCTAAATCTTTGTGTGTATATAATGTAAATCACTTTGAACCGCCTTATATAATGTAAATCACTTTGAACCGCCTTACTGCTGAAATGTGGGCGAGTGGGGCAAAAACGTATTTAGTCAGCCACCAATTGTGCAAGTTCTCCCACTTAAAAAGATGAGAGGCCTGTAATTGTCATCATAGATATGTCATCATGATATACCTCAACTATGAGACAAAATGAGAATTTTTTTTTGAAAATCACATTGTCTAATTTTTAAAGAATATATTTGCAAAATATGGTGGGAAATAAGTATTTGGTCAATAACAAAAGTTCATCTCAATACTCAGTTATATGCCCTTTGTTGGTAATGACAGAGATCAAACGTTTCCTGTAAGTCTTCACAAGGTTTTCACACACTGTTGCTGGTATTTTGGCCCATTCCTCCATGCAGATCTCCTCTAGAGCAGTGATGTTCTGGGGCTGTCGCTGGGCAACACGGACTTTCAACTCCCTCCAAAGATTTTCTATGGCAGGGGTGCTCAAGTCCAGTCCTCGACAGCTACCTGCAGGAAATTTGACGGTTACATCAAAGTATGCCTTCCTACTTTTTACAGGATAGTAGCTCATCACTGCATCAGCTACATGTTTCTCCCAGAAGTTAAGGCAGGATGCAGCAACCAGGATTCGGCCTGCAGGACGACCAGTGGTGGACATGGAGACTCCATAGTGTTTCACTGAATCTCACTGCAACCTTCACTGAAGGCTGCAACTTTTAGATGCAGCCTTACTCCAGCAGACCGGGATCAGCTCTGAACAGGTCTGGTAATGAGCCATTCATTTGATTCAGGTGTGTTGGAGCACGGATGGATCTCATAGTTGCAGGATGGTAGCTCTCGAGGACTGGACTTGAGTACCCCTGTTCTATGGGGTTGAGATCTGGAGACTGGCTGGGCCACTCCAGGACCTTGAAATGCTTCTTACGAAGCCACTCCTTTGTGTGTTTGGGATCATTGTCATGCTGAAAGACCCAGCCACGTTTCATCTTCAATGCCCTTGCTGATGGAAAGAGGTTTTCACTCAAAATGTGACGATACATGGCCCCATTCATTCTTTCTTTTACACAGATCAGTCGTCCTGGTCCCTTAGCAGAAAAACAGCCCCAAAGCATGATGTTTCCACCCGCATTCTTCACAGTGGGTATGGTGTTCTTTGGATGCAACTCAGCATTCTTTCTCCTCCAAACATGACAAGTAGAGTTTCTACCTAAAGGTTCTATTTTGGTTTCATCTCACCATATGATATTCTCCCAGTCATCTTCTGGATCATCCAAATGCTCTTGTTTCGGGTGTCCTTTGACAGTTCTCGAGTTTTGGCCATGGTGGAGTTTAGAGTGTGACTGTTTGAGGTGGAGTTTAGAGTGTGACTGTTTGGTGCACAGGTGTCTTTTATACTGATAACGAGTTCAAACAGGTGCCATTAAGACAGGTAACGAGTGGAAGACAGAGGAACCTCTTACAGAAGAAGTTACACAGGTCTGTGAGAGCCAGAAATCTTGCTTGTTTGTTATTGACCAAATACTTATTTTCCACCAAATTTTGCAAATAAATTCTTTAAAAATCAGACAATGTGATTTTCTGACTTTTTCTCCTTTTATCTCTCATAGTTGAGGTATATCTATGATGACAATTACAGGCCTCTCTCTCTCTCTTTTTTGGGAGAACTTGCGCAATTTGGCTTTTTTTTTTGTGTTTTGATTGGTTGATTGAACTTTGTTGTAATAGTTTTGCACCACTAGATTTCTATTTGTGAAAAAAAAGTCAATTTTGGTGATTGTGGCAGCTTCTTTTACATGCTTGCTGCACCTCTACCTGTCCTGTAAAAAACTATCAACATGTCATCATCATACTTCAAAATAGAAACGAGGAGAGTCGGAGTAAAGGGGACAGAGTATAAACATACACGAGAACCTTCATGTTTCATTTCCATTTCAAAATGGTTCTTTTATGCCATTTTTATTCCACTTCACAATTGTTCACCAATCACAGTCAGTCTGTCATGTTGACCTCTGTAGTTGTGAAATCACAAAGCCTTGAAAAATTGTAGGGGCATAAATTATTTTGCAAAGCAGTGTATGAACGACTGTCGCAAATAAATATATCTCACCATGTCCAGCACACATGAAAATGGACTCCGTCTTGGTAGACGAGAGGAATAAAGTCTGAAAGGCTCCGGATAGGCTTCCCTTAAGTAATCAAACATGATATCATTATCAAGAAAAAGTTCTCTGGGAGAAAACTCTGGTTGGGTAATTTCCCCCAAAAAGAAGATGCTGTGAAGAATCTAGAGAGTGAAAAAAAGAAAAACATAGTTAATTTTCTACATGCATGAGAAGCACTAAGTGATTGTGTGTGTGAAGCATCATACCACAATCATACACACCTCATCCACTAGTTCTGAAGTGTCTTCTTGAGTGCGTGAAGCCATTTCCAACATTTTATAAATAAGTCGGAAAGCATTTGTTTGGAAAAGGTTACTGTTGTCCTTATATTCCACTCTACTTTAATAATAATAAGAAGAATACAATTAAGAAAAATGACAAATCAGGGTTCGGCTTTTGTATTTCTATAAACTGACTGACTTACTTCTGTGTCTGCTCAGCAGCCTGCAAATGTGAAACAATTTAATTAACATGTTTCAATAAAAAGCACATTGTGTTGATGATTACTACGACTAGAAATGTATTAAGATCTATAGATACGTACTGAAGGTAAATCTAATGGTAACAGCAAAAAGAATCACACACAAGTAAATCTGCTTACCATCGTAGCTTCCGAGTAAATGAAACTGACAGAAAAGCCCTTCCCCTTAACGCAACAGATCAAGTTTCCTTTGTGTGACGTAAAGTCAAATTATGTTGTGTGACCAGCCCATCTGATTATAAAGAGGAAGCTGTATGAAGGCTTCACCACGGGGGTGTCTGTTCATGACTAAACAGGAACTTTGATCCAAGTTTGCAGACACAGAAACATAATGTTAGAATTTGACATTGCTCTAGTGATTTCATTATCTTTCTCCAGGGTTGAATGACTATAAGAAGTTTATACTTTTTGTTTCTAATTGTAACGGGTACCGGGTTCTGGACCCGTTAGCAGCAGATGATAAAGCTGAAAAACAGCATATAAATGAGAACACAGGAGACGCAGTCTGTGTTCCTCCAATTTCTCTCAGTTTAATTATTTATTGAACAAACCAGCTTATTAAGTCTCAATACAGTCCCATTTATAGTTCAGTAGTTCACTGGATATACAATCTATGTAGACATAGCTCTTTATTGACATAACATCAACATTAACTTTCATGAAATCAGAAATAATCTCATCCAATCATATCTTCTCACATTTTCTTTCAGGTAACAGGTACCTTCCATTAACTGCACTTTCTATGCCTCTTTCATCACACACAGTGACATATTTCAGAGACATGTATTTTACAGTTATTGTCAGCTGGCATATTTGGAATGTGAACTACTTTACTTAAATAAATGTATTAGGTCATTGTTTTGAACACAAATAAACCACGGAGTTTATAACGGGATTAATAATTTAGTAGTTGCAACCACTTAACCCCAATTATTCGCCGCGACCATGTGCTACCCAACTGTTAGCAGTTGTGCTACTCTAGCCGTTGGCTACTCTAACCGTTACGAGCTCCGAAAACACAACAAAACTCTTCCACTAGCTTTTACATATTGATATACTGGTCTAAACATATTTCGAACTGTACCAAATAAGAAAATACTTTAACATTAACTTGAGGCTTGTTCTCACCTGAAAAACAGCATATAAATGAGAACACGGGAGACGCAGTCTGTGTTCCTCCAATTTCTCCAATTTCCAATTTTATGAAAAACGGCAGAGCAACAGGCAGCTCAGTCTCCATGCGCCCCCTACTGGTGAAACACCATAAATCCACCCTTCGTCATTAACCCCTGTTACAAGAAACAAATTTGTCTCCTCCTCTTCCATGGGTCTGATTGCGACAGGTATGGTTTCATCCATGTTTTGCTCAGGTGCATCGGTTAGAGATTCCAAAATGGCTTCAGGTGACTGTTCAGCCGGTGTCTGATTTTCATCCCCAACTGTTTCAGGGGCCCTCCCAGGAGTTTGAGACAAAGTGGTCTGAGGTAAGGAAGGTTTCTCGTACAGACACCTTTGCTCAGTTCTTTGTACTGGTACTCTAAGCCAGTATCCTGAAGGGAAATCATCATATGTATCAGATGTTTCTCCATTCCTCTCTTCCCTCTCTGTCCTTGTGTCCTTTCTCTGTCTTTGTTTGTGGGTCTGTTCTCTGGCAGGAACCAATCTTGCTTGGTGCAGTGTCTCTTCCATCGGTAGGTCGTTGACCAGCATAAGGAGGTTGCGATGCAGTGTACAAGTCTTATTCTGGTCTCCTGATTCAGGACAGACAACATACACTGGGATGTCTGCAAGCTGTCTTTTGACTAAGTAAAGAGTCTTCTCCCAGTAAGTCCGTAATTTGCCTGGTCCCCCACGTTCACTGAAGTAACGGACTAAGACTCTGTCTTATGTCACTTTTCCCTTTGCACTAGCCTTTGTGCTGCTTTCACTGGCAATCCGGTAAGCTTGTGACATCTGCTCCGCCCATTTCTTGGCATATCCTTTAGGTGTTTCTGACTCTTTGTCTTCAGCCAGTCCAAACAACAAGTCAACTGGGAGGTGTGGGTGACGGCCATAAAGAAGGAAAAAAGGTGAGTAGCCCGTCGACTCGTGCCGTGTGCAGGTGTACGCATCTACAACATGCGGGAGGTGATCCTTCCACCGCAGCTTTTCACTTTCAGTCAAAGTCCGTAACATCTGAAGGATGGTGTGATTTAGCCTCTCAACTGGATTCCCTTGGGGATGATATGGTATTGTTTGTGAGTGGCTCACCCCAGACAACAGCTGCAAAGTTTGGAACAACTTATTTTCAAATTCACGATCTTGGTCGTGATGCAGCTTTGATGGATATCCGAATCGAGGAATGAAGTCATTGAACATCAGCTTGGCAACTGTCCTTCCACTTTTATTCCTTGTGGGGTATGCCTGAGCAAATCTTGTGAAATGATCAATCACTACTAATATATATTCAAACCCTCCCACGCTGGCTTCTAAGTGCAGATAATCAATACAAACTAGCTCTAGGGGGAAACTGGAAGTGATGCTACACATAGGTGCCCGATCATAAGTGACAGGTTTCTTGGCTTTGATGCACAAACACTTTTGAGTGATATATTCTTCGATTTCTCTAGCCATGAAGGGCCAGTAGAACCTGTCCCTTGCCAGATGAAGCACTTTCTCTGTGCCCACATGTCTCATCTCATTGTGTAGATATTTCAGAGCTAGTGGTCGATATTTGGTAGGGAGGACAAGTTGTTTTTTCTCTCCCGTGAATCTGTAAAGGAGGTCATTTTCCAAACGCAGTTTACTCCATTCATGCAGCAATTTCTGAGTGTCTCTGTCAACCGTTTTACGTATTCCATCTGTTAACGTAATATTGGAAGCTTTCATTTCTCTTACCTGGCCTATTGCTGCATCCTCCTTTTGTGCCTTGACAATGTCCTCCTGACTTATGGTTGAGAGATCAGCGTGTGGTTGTTGGTAGGAAGAGGTATTGAGTGCTGCAACCCATGCTACATCTTTGCGCCAAGCTGCTTGGCTCCCATCCCATGTTCCACATACTGCCTCATCTGGGAAATCCTCAGTGCATGTTTTCCCATATGTCTCCATATCAAGAGGAAAACGAGACAGTGTATCAGCATCAATATTGGACATCCCAGGTCGGTATTTAATGTCGAACTGAAAATCTGAGAGTTCACCCACCCACCTATGACCAACTGCATTAAGTTTGGCTGTACTTAAAACGTAGGTCAGCGGGTTGTTGTCTGTGTATACTGTAAAGTGAGGGGCATAGTACAGGTAATCTCGGAATTTCTCACACACAGCCCATTTCAATGCAAGAAACTCCAGTTTCCCACTATGTAGATGGTAATTGCGTTCGGCGGGTGTAAGCGTCCTAGAATCATACCCAATCACTCTCAGTTTCCCATTCTGCTGTTGGTACAAAATGGCTCCCAACCCCTTGTCTGATGCATTGGTGTGCAGAATAAATGGTAGACTAAAGTCTGGATATGCCAGGATAGGTGGATTTGGTGCTCTGGAAGGTAGTTGGGGGTGTGTGGACTTCCCACTCCGGGCTGAAGTCTGAGCTGTACCTAAATTATTCTGGAGCAGTTCATAGATCGGTTTAGCAATCCGGGAAAAATCCTGAATATATGAGCCCGTTACAAGAAACAAAATAGCTACATAACCCCATAAACCTTTAAAGAAGTGAATGCTCCTTTTCTTCCTCTATTGTGGGCACACACTAGTGGGCATCACATAATACACACATTGATAGACAAGAAATGTCTATCAATCATCAGTCATTGATTGAATGACCATTAATATGTGTGAAGAAATGCTTTCCCCTTCCTTATTTGAAGACTTTGACTGGGCCACTCTCATCTAGACAGCTTGATGTTTTCCTCAAGCTCAGGGGTGGGCAGACTAGGCCCTCGAGGGCCAGTGTCCTGCAACTCTTAGATGTCTCTCAGGTTCAACAGACTTCAATCAAATAGTAGAATCACCTCCTAAGTGCAGTCAGGTTCTTCAGAGTCCTGTTAATGACCTCAATATTTGACTCAGATGTGTTGAAGTAAAGACACGTGTAACGGTTGCAGGACACTGGTCTGGAGTTGCCCATCCCTGCGCCAGGTGTAAAAGGAGACAGATCTTTTGTCTGGTCAGTTCATGAAATGTTTTCCCAACTATCAAGATGTGTTCTGGGAATACTGAAACCCACCCTGTTTCTCATTGTCTAGGCATGACCTCTGACCTTAAGTGAGGCCTGCTGTTTTCAGATGTTTTGGATGAGTCATTGCTGAGCTCTTGGGGTAATTTTGGTTGGTCAGTCCCTCCTGGGAAGTTCACCACTGCTCCATGTTTTCTTCACTTGTGGATAATGAACCGTCATTGTGGTTTGCTGGAGTCCCACAGATTTAGAAATCACTTTATTACAATTTCCAAACTGACCAATCTCAATTTCTTTATTTCTCATTGTTGCTGAATTTCTTTAGGATGTCTGGATTTTGTGACGTCGATCTCTTGGTGTACTTCACTTTCTCAGGCAGGTCCTGTTCAAGTGACCTGTGATTGAGAACAGGTGTGGCAATAATTATACTTTGGTGTGATAAGTCATGTTTTAACTGTGGGGTGATTAATCACTTTTTCACAGAGCCATGAGGGTTCAGATTTCTTTCTTCTTCAAGAACAAACACCATGATTTGCCAACTGGATTTTGTGTTTGTTGTCTTTAGCTAAAATTTGATATGAAAAAAAGATGCGACAATCCTAAAAAAATAAAATCACTTTTTCACACCACTACAAATCCTCATACAGAAATTTCCCCTTTTTCATATGTGAATTAGTATCTTCACATCGACGGCTGATGCTGTTAAAAACAAGTTTGGGCCTATATGAGTTTCTGAGGTCTGCTCCAAATTAACAAATTTAACAGCCGGGTTTTCAGCCTCAGATATGTTAAAATATGTTTAAGAAGAATAAACCTAACTAAATAAATTAGGGTTCATGTTGAGAGGTGTTTCTGAAAAATTATTTAGTGTCTAAGATCTCAATACTGTATTATACTGCAATACTATAAGCAATTACCAACTGGTCGCTGACCAGATGATGTAATTGCAGGTTCCAGATCAAGTTGCCTAATTGATCTAGGTAATCACTTAGGCAAAACTATTACAGACAGGACAGTAGCAGCTCTGGCTGCTACAGTCAAGCAGGTACCATTGCAGCCTTAGATTGTGCTGACTAGACTATATCTGATTGATCCCCAACTGTTCTACTGAGAGGAAGAGAACACCAGACAGTTTATGTCATTTATTATTTCATAACACATACCATGTTTATCAAAATCATGTAAAACATCCACAGAACAAAATAAAGTGCTTGGTTTTTTTAAACTACATGAATGACAAAAACTTAGTCACGTTCCACCTTTCTGCAACTGAGTCATGTTGCTTTTGGGGAGGATGTTGCCATTCTGCTGATGACACCTGCAGGGAAGAGAATAGAAAATGATTTCGATGGTGGGTTTAACACGGTTCTATGAAGAGCTCCACTGCTTTTTATGAATCCAACTGAACCTAAACATCAGTCTTGCTTCTATAGGAGGATCCAGTATCATTTACTGGTCAGTTCCAGTCTAAAACTGTTATATTTAGAGATGCAACAGTATTTTCATGCCTCAAGTTGGGCTAACTAAGGAAAGATAGCTCCAAGTTAAAAAAAAAAAAAGCATGTTTGTGTTTTATGAAAATATTTAATGTTTCACCGCTTATTCTGACACCCACCTCTGTCTTTGTCTGATGATTTTAAGATTCTGCAGGAATGCGTCTTTGCAAGAAGCCACCAGTTTACGATGCTCCTCTTCCAACCTCTTCCCCTCAGGGCCCGGTTTCACCTTCGCCCAGTCCTCTCTGGTCTGAGCATAAAACACATTGTTAGTGATCCCAGGCTGGCATTCAGGATAAATGTTCACACATTCAGTCAATCACTCACCATGTCTTTGAAAGGCTCCCCATAGTAATAACTTTGGGATGCAGGGTAGGCTATTCCCTCTTTGAACATCTCATACAGTGATGAAGCCACCAGATGCAGCTCGTCTCCATCAAAGCCGTACACCTTCTGGTCCTCACCGGTCATCAGAACAAGCTGGTCACATGGGTACGAAGTTCCCTTCACATAGCCGATAACCTCCATCTTTGTTGTTTTGGGAAGATAAAACTTTCCCCATGCGTTCACCACTGCAGGGCTGTCATTATATTCTGTGTCCTCCACTGGTCCAATGGTCAGTCTGGACCCAACTGAACAACCCAGAGAGATTTCTTTGCCTTTTTCTTCAGACACAATCTTTGACACCTTTGCCAGATAATCTGGAACTGAAGGACATCACAGATATCAGGAACTTGTGAAGAAAAAAACCTTTTCATTTTCAAATATAATAGAGATATATGATCCCTACCTCTTTTTCCATTACATTGTTGGAAATCCTCCAAACTGAAACTGATACAAAAAATATCCCCCAAAAAAATGTTAGAAATAACACAACCAACCTCAAAGCATCTTTTTTCAGTCTATATTATACATTTCACACTTTTTTTCTCAATTTAAATAACAAAAAAACCCAACTTTAATTCTTATCTGTTATGCATAGAAGTAGCATCACTAAGAGAGATTTAGTTTTTTTTTCCCAAAATTGATGTTTGGTACTATGAGTTTATTCAGAGATCATGTACAACACAGATATCGGATCTGGAGTTTGGGCTCGAGTTCTGGGTTTTATTCTTCTCTCTTCTTCCATCTGCTCCTCAGACAAACATCACCCACTTTGTATGAGTGGATCATCATCCCAGGAAATTCCACAGCTTCTTTCTTAATCTACATTCTGAAGATTATTTGACATCTATTGGAGTAAAGGGCCTTCCTGATGGGAGTCTTCATGCTCTCCCAGTCCATGTGTGAGTTCTCACTAGGTACTCCAGCTTCTTCAAAATATCAGGTATTTACGTTAGGGTAGGTTTGTAGGTAAGTTGCTCTGAGAACAGCGATTTTGTGCTTGCATATAGCTTGTCCAATGCTGGCCTTTGTAAACAAATATCCATCACAAAAGTGACTCTTCGTATTTTCAAGTCCGATAGAAAAACATCATAAGTATTTACCACATTTTATACCTAACAGAGTTGCAGCAACTACCAAACAAGAAAATTAAATAAATAATAAATTAAAAAAAAAAAACTTTATTATTGTCACATTGTAGAACATTGAGGTTTCATTTTCTGAAGTTTCAGTTTAAAAAAAAGAAACAGATTGTATGTTCAAAACAGCATGGTGAGACCAAGGTTGCCAGTATTTAATGAAAATAAAATCCCAAAATTATGTCTTATAAAATAAGAATATCACATAGGATGAATTAGAAGACAGACATTTTAGACTTCTGAAAAGTACATTCATTTCTATGCACACTTGGTTGATGCTCCTGGCTCAGAGGCTAAAGTAGTCATCTTGAAATTTTAAAGTTCTGGTTCAATTCCAGATTCCTTCCATCATAGGTCGATGTGTCCCAGGACAAGACTTTATAAATGTGCATCTACATTATTGGAGCTGGTAACTCATCGTTCCTTCAACAATACTCCATAGATTTTCTGATGTAGAAAAAACTATTTTCCGCTGTTCAACTTTAAATCTTCCAACACTTAAAAAACAAACAAAATCAAAGAAACATGTTTTTATTGCTACACAGGTGTAATATACATTAACTGAAGTCTTTGCAACAAACAAGAACACGTTAATCCAAGTCGCAGTAAATGAGCAAAATTATGATGGAAAATAAGCAAACGGAACCAGACCTTATGGTGCACAGTCCAAAAGAATTTGATGTACTTCATTGTCCAGGAGACGGAGCCATCGTTTGATCCTACGGGGTTGGATCCCTCATGTCTTCACTTGATCGTTTACATTTTCTCACTCCTTATGAAACATGGTTTGTGATCCACGCCCAACTAGAACTTGTCAGCACAAGAATTCGCTTATCTTCGTTTTCTTTTCAGACACTCTGTCATAGGCTTGAATTTGGAACAGTGTGATGCAAATATTCAAATCCATTTACCTTTCAGGTGTTAAGAGCCGGAAGGTCCTTTTATTTCACCTCTGTACCTTGTAGAAGAAGAAGAGCCAAACGACTTGAGTCCACAACATTTCAGCCGTGAAAAGCGCAACAGATTCCCAGAGCAGTGTCAGGTCTCAGGTGAAACAGGGCCAGTCTGGCATCATCTTCAGCATTTATTTCTATTCCGTCCTGGGGTTGTCCTGAGGACTTTATTCAGGTCAGATCGTATTTCTTGTCATCAGTTATGCAAGAGGCTTCTTCCCAGATTGACGTCCCAGGAACAGCTCCAACTGAAGAACCAAGGCTGCTTCGAATTAAATGCCTTTCTAGGTCAACACGCAAAACTCCAGCCACATTTCTGGGCTTTCTTCTTCAAGTTTACTTTGTAAATCTAATTCCAATTGATAAGTTCTATGCAATGTTCCCTCTAAGCTGCGCGTCTGCGCAATCGCGCACCACTCGCATATTCTCAGTGCACAAGAAAATCTAGGTAGCATAAAATAAAGTCCAATGTAAACTGGACATTGAGCACAGATATCAGTTTTGACTAGGAACCAATAAAATTTTTTTCTGTACTACTTTGCGATCGAACTCAGTGAGTGACAGGAATCCAGCCAATGATACGATACGGTTCACTTTCGCTATGCAGCCAATCATCGCATGCTATTTTGTGTACGTGCCTTGGTCATACAGGCTATGGCACCGAATAGTGCGGCAGAGTTAAGAGACGTGAAAGCTAACTCCTTATCATGTCTAAGTGGGACATCCACTCACCAAGCCAAAGTAAAAAAAAGAAATGCACTTCTTCTAAGATCAAATGCCTGTCGGAGTTTGTGCAACTAGAAGAACAGTACAGTATACAGTTGAGTGAACGTGTCAAGGAGGCAACGGGCCATCACTGTTGCGATTATAAAAAGTGTTTCCACTTTTCTACGAATTTATCCAAGGGGAAACACACTGAATAATCCCCTTTCACAAGATATGACCCATTACACCAAATAAACTAAATAACAAATATAATCTTGAAAAAGTTCTTTGTAGAAGTAACATGTTAAACTCCTGATGAATATTATTCAGACTGACTCAGACTCATCACAAAATGAAACTATTTGTATGACTCACAATTGAAGTCACACTGACAGATTTTCAAGTCAGTTTACAAAGCCTCAAGTTTAAGAGAAAACTGGCTACTTACTTTTGACACTCTGCCATTCTGGGTTTCTGTCAATTTAAACAACAACAAGCAATAAATAAATATTCTTCAAATATGGATATACATAAAATACAAACAGATTATTTGATGAAAAATAAAAATAAAAAAATGGGCCAATTTTAATAGACTTTCTAACTAATGATAGTATCTTTTAACAAAAAAGATATTATTTAGGGTATTTTGCTTTAATATTTTAAACAGCACATACACAAACGTTTAATTTATTTTGTAATTGTGTTATTGTCAGTATTTCTGCATTGATTTAAACTTATGAAAATAAAGAGTAATAAATCCGTATGGCCATGTTTGTATAAATTAAACATGTTACCTTGAGAGGATCAACCTCGAGCTTTTGGTTGCTCAACTTCCGCCTTTGGATCGGTTTCTCCATACCTTCGAGCCGCTTTCAGGGTCTGACGGAAAACACCATAAATACATTAAGAATGAAGAATAACTTAATCAGATGATGAATCTAAGCAGAGTGATTTCAATTTTAATTAAAACAGCTCAGAAAGTTTGATTATATAATACTGGAACAGATGTTTTTTTTTAAAATACGTATATTATGGAAACATTCTCAGCTGCGCAACAAAAGAGGCGCTCCTTAAAGCGCCATCTTTGTTTTCACTTCCTGTAGTTGGAAGCCTTAAAAACTGTTCCGACTTTCCGCTTTTGTTCTTTTAAGAATATATCGGATACGCACCTAAAGCATCAAATTTGGGCATTCTTACTTTAATTTTTTTATTTTTCACTCCTTTATATTTTTGGTCAGTAAACTACTTCGAAATGTAACTTAACAGTTTTGGACCCAACGCGGAATTGAAATAATCACAAATGAGTTTAAAATAAGAGCGTCTACATACCTTTAAAAAGAAGGTCAACAAATAGCTCGAGATCAACAGCCTCGTTCTCGAGGTTGTTGCCACAAATGAACTTCCGCACTTTCGTCTGTTTCGCCACACCTTCATGCTGCATTTAGGGACTGACTGAATATTGGAAACACAAACACTCTTGTTCAATTTGACGTTGTGCTAGCCAACAGGCTCGCTATTTAATGAAACCATTTCAGTTTGAAACTATTCCTCAGTTAGCTGTTGTTATCAACCCCTTGGTTTGTAACACCCTATTTAGGTTTGAATTCAGCAGTTTTATCTGACGTTGGAATCGTCTTTTATCCCATGAAGGTAACAAACGTATTACGCAACCATATGTTGTTTAAGCCGTTCGAGGGTGTGAATAACACATATTAAATACACCAAGATGACTATTTTATTATTACTTTCCAATTTTTAACTACAGTTGACAGTCACGGTTCGTGTGCATATTTATAAAACGCTTTATTGTCTGTAACTTCGTCATTATTCCACTGCGCATGCGTGTAGCGAGGGGAAGTCGTATGAGCGCCGAGCGGAAGCTGTGACGTCCTTTCTGCTCCGGACTGCCACCATGGTGAGTTCGCCATGAGAGTCGGAGAAATTTTAACTTGAATTTCGTCTCATTTAGAGGTTCTCCCATCGCTGAAGTTTGCACACACTTTCCTGAGATCCTTATAAACCTATATTCGACACGTTATTAAAAGTCTGGTTAGCTTGTAGTGGGTTCTGTTGCCTTGTCGAAGCGTGTTGTCGGCTAGTAGCCGCAGCACAACGTGGTCTGCCAGGCCGTGTAGGCCCAAAGCTACCCGGTGATCGACTGAAATACAATATTTATGGGTTTATAACTTAAGCTTCATTAAGCATGTGTGTTCGTGTTGTGTTGTAACTTATTTTAAGGTTCTCAGGTGTGTTTTGCTAAGCGTTAGAAACGATGCATTAGCGACGCCAGCTAAACTGTACAGCGCTGTTACACTCGCACTTTAATGTCATTGCCTGCTTATTCTCAGATTGAGTTCCGTCTGCCTTCTTATTGTTTCTTCAGGTGTTCAAACGCTTTGTAGAGATCGGCCGTGTCGCCTACATATCTTTTGGTCCCCATGCTGGCAAGCTGGTGGCCATTATAGATGTTATTGACCAAAACAGGGTAAGTACTTGGGAGGATTTTGCATTATTGACCCGAGGCAGAGCCAGAGTTTGATCAACTCAAACTTGCCTTTGCACTTTCCAGGCGCTTGTCGACGGTCCCTGCACAGGAGTGAAGAGGCAAGCCATGCCCTTCAAGTGCATGCAGCTCACTGACTACGTCATCAAAGTTCCTCACAGGTGAGCTCAGACACCTTTACATTGAAGATTCGGTCATTATGGGTGCAGAGGAAAATGAGATCCCACTGCATGTCGGCTTTGTTTTGCAAACGCTGCAGGAGATTATGGCTATCTGCATCTTTGCTTTTCTTTCACCAAACGTTTGCATTTGGGGCTTCTCTGGGATTGTTGTGGTAAAAGTTTGTTTCATAAAAAAACATTGTGATTGCCTTCGCCAGCGCCGCATGTCTCGCTTTATAGTTGTAAGTTGCACTACTTGACGTCCTTTCATGAGAACTTCAGCAGGTTATTGATTGGCATCCAAATAAATTCAGGTAGCTTTTGGGACCCTTTTCCCCGCTTTCCAGTGTATTTCCTAATGAGTGTTTGATGGTTCCCAGCGCCCGGCAGAAGTTTGTGAAGCGAGCCTGGGAGAAAGCCCAAGTCAACGAGAAGTGGTCTCAGAGCAGCTGGGCCAAGAAGATCGAGGCGAGACAGAAGGTAAAAATCATGTCACAATATGTTTCTTCTATTTTTTAAGGTTAATTTTTTTTGTTTTTATGTTATTAGGGGGTGGCGATATGGACTTTCTAGTTTTATCATGACTTTATGTCGTATTATTGTAATGTTGATTTTTATTACCACTTTTTGGGGTAATTGTGCATAACCCCACAAACACAAGTACCGGTGTTGAGAAACACACACACACATGTGTAATGCGCTACTTTTGGACACAGGTCACATAAAGTAGTGTGATAAGCTGCATATTGTAACTGCATTTAGTCACATTTTCAAATGTGTATGTAGGTATTTATCGATGCTCTCATTGAGCAAAGTAGAAATAAAATGGTAAAAATGAACAGTCCAGACAATACGGACAGGTTTAGGGGTTTCGATAACATTAATTGCAATTTATAGTGACAACTACATTCTTAAGCTGAGAAATTTATCACAGTAAATATTGTCCATCATTCCATTTTATTTCAGAAAATCTAAGTTGACAGTGAGTTCATCTCAAGTGTTTGGTTCAAGTATTCAGTTGAATTTTTATTCAATAGAAATACTATAAATTTATCGGTAAATTTAACAAACCTTTAGGGGTGTATGCTGGATAAATCCGCTTCACCGTGAGTCCGCTGGGATTATTTTAAAATGATTGAGTCCTGGAAAGCACTGAAACACACCGTCTACTAGGCTGTTGTCCAACTATCAATCACCAGAGATTTAACAAGTCTAGACACCAGCAGGCAGCGGTAAAGTCACACAGAAAAACAGTTGCTAAGCTGAAAAACTGCATCCAACAGAACAAGGGTGTCTTGTGTGAATTTGTGGGCTAAAAGCTGCTAACATCGCATTCAATCCCACTGACATTTTCAGTTTGAGTTGTTTAATGACGCTAAATCAGGTGATGTTGCTGATCGGCTTCTGCCGTTTGGAAAATAAAACAAACTCTGGAAATTTGAGTGCTGAAAAAAGTTTTGACATGAAGAATGAGTTCTGTCTCTGACCTCTGACTCTTTGTGTTCACAGAGGGCCAAGATGTCTGACTTTGACCGCTACAAGGTGATGAAGGCCAAAAGGATGGTGAGTACAGCAGACCCAGCCTCCTCGATCAGGACGCTCTGATTAGTGATGCAAAATCCAACAAAACTCACGTTTTCACACCGAGGTCCTGAATGCTGTTTTTACAGAACTTCCTGGAACCGTAGTTCATTTCTTGTTTCCACTTTGGGCTCATAAACCAGATTATTTCCGTAAATTGTCACTACTGAGTACATGGATTTCCAAAAATGTCAACAGCAGAGTTGTGAATGCGATCAAAAGCAGTTGAAGTCGGACTAAAAAAAGCTTCATTTTTATTGTTTCATTCTGATTATTATCAAAAACTGATAATGAACTTGAACAGCATACTTACATATTTAACAGCAGTACAAGACTATTGAATAATTATCAGTAATTGATCAAGAATTGGAGGAAGTTGTTGCTTTTACTCTGTATCAAAGAACAGAAACACTGTGAAATTATGTAATCTGTGATTCTTAAAGCAGAATCCCACTTTTATTGTCAATATTTCCACTAAAATTTAGATTTTATCAATGATTTTTATACACACTGACAAATTTATATTTAGCATGATTAGCTGGATTAGTTTAAAACGGGTAAGGTTTGTGTGATGTAGCCAAATGAAGCTTGTGAGTTATTAGTTTGAACGTGTGCAGTGGAAGTTAATCATTTTGAAGCAGCACATTAATCAGTGCATTGTTTATTTTTTCTTTATTTGTGCAGAGAAACAAGATCATCAAGCATGAGGTGATGAAGCTCCAAAAGGAGGCGGCAAAGAAGTGAACAATTTTCACAAAATAAATTCTCTGTTCAGTTATTCATCTGTCGTCTGTGTATTAATTTATCATAATTTAAATGTAACTCACTGCTGAATAGATGGTAACTATGAACACCCAACATTGGGTCAATGTGTTCCAGTCCATTTGTTCAATGCAACCAGTTTCCCTGCATCAATCCACTCCTTTCAAAGGAATTGGTTACCATAGCAACATGTTTAACAATTTGTACAAATAGTTAATAGCTTTTAGCTATGTGGTTCTCACTGGTTTTGTCAAAGCGGTGACACGCATAAAACTTGCGCGGCAGTGTCCTGTCAGTGACCAGGGTTAAACACAAATTTATGCAAAAAGGTTAATTATTCTACGCTGCTATGTCAGGCTAACAAACAAAGTATATCACCATATGTCTATGTTGAGTAATGGTCTTTAACTCTTCTGGTTCCTTAAATAGGCCTGTAATACTGTTTTCTGTAAAATTATGTCCCTTCACAATAATCATGTATTTACCAGTCTCTGAGTTACCTTCAATATCGAAAGTTGTCGCGCTACAACTTACATTTTTGAAAGTCTACATATGTTAACATTTTATTTGTAAGATATCCTAAGTTTTTTATCTTTGGGATAAAAATGCGCAAAATGTAAAATGAAGGCAAGACAGCTCAAACATGGGCCAAGACACAAACTTTCTGTAAGAAGGAAGCAAATAAAGAAAATAGGATAATAAACCTACCTTATTGTAGGTTGCTAACAGATAGTTTATAGGCATATAAATATTCTCTTAGCAATAACTAGTATTATTTAAGGATGAGAAGATAAAACCTGCTGGTGTCTTGCAAATATTTGTTCACCATTTCAAACTACCTTGTGAGCACAACAAGCATTTGTAAATTACATTTTTCTTTAGCATATAGGCTCCTCACTGTGAAGGAATGATGCATTCAGCATCACTTTCCTCATGCTTAATAAACAGTTGTTCATGATGAAGTGTTCAAAGATTAATAACCTATCTATAAACTATTGTAAACTGGACTATTTTGAGGTATTTTCACGGGGTAATACCGCCATCTGCTGGCAGTTTTGGAAGTCTTATGAAGGACACGTTTTTATGTGCAGTTTTCTGTTTTTAGTTACGTTTTTTAGAATTTGGATTATTTAGCTTATTTTTTTAAATTTTCTGGTTCATTTATAATTAGAATTTCTGTTTAATTTCATTTATTCAGAATAAGTTTGTTGGTTAGAAATTTGTTTAATGAATTAATTTCAGTTTGGAGCACAATATAAATAGGTATGTTTCGGTAGGACATTGTGCGCCTGGGTGGTCGCATGGTTGTTGTTTTTTTTTTTTTACCAGTCTATCCAGCATTCAGTCTACCAGACAGTAACTTCACCCAGTCAATCAGTCCGCAGGTGAGACAATCAGGTAGCCAAACATAAGGGCTCTTTTACTTGTACCATG